ACTCAACACTTCATAGTTCAAAACATCTAGATTCTAGTAAATCCAGGCCTATTACCACATCTAGATAATCTACTTCTATCCTGATCTCTAGTTTCTAGCTCTAGATCCAGAATCTAGATCTATATTATAATCCTTCCCGTTTTCAAACAGTTAACTGCCTAAACCTAAACTTTTTCTTGTCTAGTCTAGACCTCTACTCTCACAGAGCACTGTTCTTTATAACTCTCGTACTTCGTTGAATCTGGATGTTTTCTTGAAGTTGTTAGTATGTCAATCATATCAGTTTATCGAATCAGTTTATCGTTGGCTATGAGAATATTATTAAGCGTTAGTAGCTCCAATGATATTTCAAAACTAAAGGGAAACTGCAAAAGAATAAGAATAACATTATATATATACACACATATATATATTTATAGACAATATATATATATATTTATATTATGTTAGAATGTGATTGTTACCTAGTTAATCCTTTTTTTCCTGCAAATGTTGCCTATTTTTGTGTTACTTTCTCTCATTGCAAGGCATGAGGTAAGAAATTTTTTGCAGCTTCACTAGAACGAGGCTCTTTTTAAAATGTCTAGATCTAGATGATTTGCTTCTCATTACCTTAGAATCGAGACTGTCAGAACTAGGCCTATGACATAGTTTTAATACCTTAGGCACTGAACGGTTTTTTAATCAATTCAGCGTCCATCTCCGATAGGACCTAGCAAGTGTGAAGATACCATTGAAAACTCCACAAACAACTGAAGTTCAACAACACCCAGCACGGGACTTGAACCAGAGCCATCCCTGTACAGTCCTGCGCTTCATGATACAAACTGAGTTATAACCAAACTTTGCTGGTGGCTGGTGGGTTCCCTTTTGTGGTTTGCTCCTTCTTTCCTATCAAACATTTGTGGTCAATATCTCTCTTCCAATTTTTTTTTTTGTATGTTACTCTCTAATGCAAGTCTTCGGCACTTATATGACCTTATAGTGTTGGAAGTGAAACTCTTACTAAAACCAAACAACTAACCACTCCCTCCGTACCTTCAGTCGAGCCTTAGGGGACAATCATTGGTTTGTATAGCAGTTAGTGTTCTCCTTTACAAGGATTATCTAATCGTTTATGGTTTAGGCGTTGTAACGTGGCGAAAAATGTCGGCAGCATCGTACGTTTGATTGAGGTGAAATCAGGCGCTCGTCAAAATAAAATGAATCCCCCTCCCCCTTCCCCCCCAAAAAAAAACTCAACAGAAAATCCAGCATTTTTTCTGCTCACTGGAAAATCTTTATTCATTTCTTTTTTCGGCTCAACATCTTTTCTATCCATTAATAAACATACCTATGTGTGGATTTTACTGCAAAAAAAAGTTGATTAAAAACAAAAGATAGAAGTGTGCAGTTTCCAAGGATATTCAAGTTTTGAAGTCATCAATCTGTGATGGGCATTGTCTCGCACCTTTCATTTGTGACCTGGGCGTCCCTAGCCACCTTCAATCCTTCAATCGCAAATATCGCGACTTCTAGTCAGACAGATGAGTATTTATTAATCCCATTAAAAGCAAGATAAATGGAAACGCTTTAAGATGATACCAATAACTTCATTCCTATGCCCAAAATTGACAAACGCCTGATTCCACCGCGTCGTGACACATACATGAATATGTGTAAAAGATCAGAATAGATGGTAACACGACATACTCCCTTTAGTTCAAATGTTAGCGGATAGGGGAAAAGCGGTCAGCATTTGTGGTAATAAATGTGTAGGCATATGCGTAGGTTCTCAATATAATTAGGCCTACTCTGTCTTTGTTTATTTTGAACATTCTAATTAGGGACAGATAAGAGAGCTATAAAGCAAGCATGACATACTAGGCTCCGTGTGTCTACGTACAGTTACACTTCAGTAATCTTTGTGACTAAGTTAGTCTTTTCCAAATGAAATGGACACTTTTTAGCTTTAAAATATGTGTTATTTGTGTGTGTGTGTGTGTTTCAATCGTGATCAGAATTTTTAAAACTTATCTTTCTCTACAATGTTTGTGTTTTAATCATGATCATGATCTTTGTAAAGATTTCTTCTGCCTGTCTGAAAAAGCACCCTATCCACTTGAGTCTATCTATTTTAGGGGTATCGTCTATTACTACAAGTAAACTATTACACTACATACAGTTTTTAAATGAGAGCCAAGCCAACAGAATTGAATTGTAATACGTGCCAAGATTCAAAATAGTCGACTTATAATAGATTGCATTATTTTATTTAGCGATCTACACCCTTTTATCTTGACTGCGAATTTGAACAATCTCTTAAGCCTAACGCGTCTGTCATCTAGGGCTTTTTCTGCTGTGACATTGTATCCCTCTGAGCCTGAGTTGGCCCTGGAAGGTGAGGTCGAAGTTCACGTCCTAAATGATTCAAAATTGTGTTGATGGGGGCGTAAAAACACGTTGAAAATCGTTAAGCTTGGACAATAGTATCCTCTATTTTAACTTCGTCAGTTATGCTGTACCTTTCACACCAACACACGCATCCTTGTTGCATACTTCTGTTGTTGTTGTTGTTGTTGTTGTTGTTGTTGTTGTTGTTGTTGTTGTTGTTGTTTTGTTGTTGCTGTTGTTGTTACAGTGGTTGGTAATGCAGCTATTTTTGGACTTGCTGCTATAGTTAATGAAGGTGATCATGTTGTCAAGGGTTATAATATTCTGATTTCATTAATTAATGTTACTGCAGTTAAGGATTTGCTGCTGGTAGGACTATTGTTGATGTGATTTGTTTGTTTGTTTTTGTCTTCTCGGTTCTTTAAACAACAAAAATAGCAACAACGATACCACAGCAACAACAACAACGATAACAACAATAACACCGCTACAACCACCACCTATAATAGTAACAATAACAACAACAACTACAGCAACAACAACAACAACAAAATAACAGTTCTTACAATTGCAAATGTTGAAACCATTAATTTTTCTCCAGAGCTACACAACACAGCCACAACATAAATCTTCACTCCTGATCCCTTACAGTACAGTTACAGGCACAAAAAAGACATTTTCATCGTGTTCTTTTTTGCATATAATTTTATCATTTTTTCTGTACAAATGAAGGTGAGAACAGTGAACACCCTTCAAAAGTAATGATGATAACAATGACCATGATAATAATATAATAATCAATAGCAATAATAGTAACAGAAGAAGAAGAAGAAGAAGAAGAAGAAGAAGAAGAAGAAGAAGAAGAAGAAG